AGCATCTATAATTTATAAGGTAAGGCTTCATCTGAGAACAGGACCAGTTTGTAAATGTGAATACTTAACAGTAATGGAGAATCTGCACCCTGCGTAAACTAGACTTTGAAAACAAACCAGAGCGAGATTCAGCAAGCTGGCGAATGCAAGGAATAGCCGGACAGCAAGCCCAGGGTGCAGCATTCTCATCATCTGTAGAATCCGTGATTCACAATCCCAGAATTCTGTCTGCTGCAGTCCTTTCCATTTATACTGGAGACTGGTGGGCCTATCAGCTGATGTCAGGGCAAAAACATTACCATAGCTGCAGGATTCCACCCAGTGTGGCAACAGCCAATCAGGTGTGACATCTAAAGAGGTGATTCTCCAGCCTTACAGACCCCCAAGTGTCTCATGCACTCCGTTCACTGACTGACCCCAGTCAGTGTTTGGTGATGAGTACAACCACTGTATGAAGAATTGTTTTGAACCTCCTGAAATTAAATTTCTTCCAAAGGGCTGAAACACTGAGAAGTCAGACCTTGAAATTAGAATAATCTGCATTTTCAAACTTCATGCACTAAGAAAATTTTACCAGCATAATTTCTGAAGATATGGAGCCCAGCTGCAGTTTCTTTGGATTATCAAAGGCTACAGAAAAAGGCTTCGACGTCGCACCAATAAAGATTTGAATTTAGAAAGAAAAATGTAAAGCTCTCTGACACGACCCGGGAAACCCTGTGTATGCTTAAATTCACTGGTGCATGTGTAACTCTTAAAATCTCCGTGAAAAATCTGAGTTGATACAAATTATTAGTTCTGACAATTCTGCCAAAAGGAGCCCCCTAAAAACCTAATTAACTACTCCTTGTGTTTCTGGCCGTGAGACAGAAGCTGAATGTAATTTCCAGTCGATGGACTAATCAATAACTGATCTGAGGTTCACCTTCTCCGCCTCCCACTCAGTGTCGTTATTTTGCGGTCGCAGGCAAGCATGTCAACAACAAGCTGAGGTGCGGATCCCGACGGTGGAGCACAACCCCGTGGCAGGCAGAGGTCACAAGCGATAAGCGGTATTGTTTTTCTGATTGGTCCCAATGCAAGGAAGTTCAGAGGAGCTCTAAGCTTATAATTCTCAAGAAAAGCATGACGCTGTTCACACCGGCGAGGGTGTTAACCCAGCAAAAACAGCTGTCAGGCTGTCGTCTTCTTTCAGTGTCTTTCAAGAGCTCCACAATCTTGCACGCACTGTGAATTTGCAAGCGATTCTTCCATTTGTCAGGCTGTTGGCAAACCTGTCACCTTCTAACGATGAGAAGCATGCTTATTTATTTAATTTCTGGAGTTCAACATAATTATAGGCTTTACGGCAGCAGCCTGTCGTCAACGCCTCTTCACACAGCTCAGCGCCAGAGTGCTTGCAGTTGAGACGTTCTCGTAGGAAACGCTGCCTCTTTTTAATCTTTCAGTGAAATTAAACAGTGCCATTTCCTAGAAAGCGATAAGCGGTATTGTTTTTCTGATTGGTCCCAATGCAAGGAAATGGCACGCAGAAATGGCACGCAGGTGGAGAAAAGGAACTATTTCCTGGAATGTGCAGGCAAAAAAAGTAGCCTGGGATTCTTTTGTCATGTATTTCCACGAATTTCGGCCAATGGGAGTTCCCTAGAAGTCATGGATGCGCGCGACTAGCTGTTGAAGTTGAGGTCCTTCCCCTGTGTTCCCTTAAGTTTCCCTTGTGTCTCTGGGCACAGCACTTCAGAGAGACCATGTTCATGCCGTTGCCTTACATCCTCACTCGTTAAATAATTGAATACAAACGGTTGCCCCTTGCAGGGTTTCTGTCGATCTCATCTGCGCCCCCGTCAATAAAAAGACAGTTTATGAAAGCCCTTGCATCTAATACCTGTGATCTACCCCCCCACTACAAAAGCAGTAGAGGGGATTAAATACTGTTCCTCCAATATGGTCAAGCTCCTTTCTCCGGTGGTTTTGCCAACAGTCATGTTTGTCAGCCGCCCCAGACAGCCTGAGGGAAGCCCTGACAGCATCGACACCACATATTACAAACAAGTCGATGGCAGCAACAAAAAGCTGAAAAAGAGTTAGTGTTTTACACTCACCCCCCCCCCCCCAAGTGCCTGCTTCAGGGAAAGTTTATGTTAGAGAGGGGAAGGCTCTTTGACTCTGTCAAATTCTGTCACATCGCTGCAAGCCTGGCGATCGCTCCGTGCAAAGCGGGTGGCCGGCGACACCGGGCACTCCTTCGTGAGCGTGTCCCGTGCCTCATGGTGCTGCACCGAATTCAGGCTCTGCGCACAATGTCTCCGGGCCTTTATGATAATGAACTCCTGTGCTGGGTCCCTCCTAAGGAATATGGTCCGATAAATAAAACATCGAACCCCAAACCTGCATGGCACGGATACAGGCACCTCACCTCAGCCCTGTTCTAAGGACGGCCTCCACACAGCACGTACAACACCATAAATACTTAAGGCAGAGTCTATTTCCTGCTCTGCTGGAAAAGTATGATACATAATTAAAAGTGCAAAGTGTAAACATGTAGTTCTTTGGGGGGGGGGGTTCATTATCATTAAGATGCTTTAAAGAAACATAATTGTGAGCCACAATCAGAGGACTAAACTTATTAATCTGCAAGCTGCTAGCTACCGCTTATAAGAGAGGTGACATGTTGGAAAAGGTGCATACAGGGGTTGGATGGGCTGGAAAAGCAGGACAAGAAACAAAGATGCTGTTGAGGTCAGGAGAACTTGACCACTACCACTTTCTGCTATCAAAAACAAGGTGGATAGGACCATACATAAGAAACAGCCTCAGAATGCGGCGCTGGCCCATGCCGGGAGTCACAGCCTCAGAATGCGGCGCTGGCCCATGCCGGGAGTCACAGCCTCAGAATGCGGCGCTGGCCCATGCCGGGAGTCACAGCCTCAGAATGCGGCGCTGGCCTGGCCCATGCCGGGAGTCACAGCCTCAGAATGCGGCACTAGCCTGGCCCATGCTANCAGCCTCAGAATGCGGCACTAGCCTGGCCCATGCTAGAAGTCACAGCCTCAGAATGCAGCGCTGGCCCATGCCAGGAGTCACAGCCTCAGAATGCAGCACTGGCCCATGCCGGGAGTCACAGCCTCAGAATGCGCCACTAGCCTGGCCCATGCTAGAAGTCACAGCCTCAGAATGCAGTGCTGGCCCATGTTGGGAGTCACAGCCTCATTATGCGACACTAGTCTGGCCCATACCGGGAGTCACAGCCTCAGAATGCGGCGCTGGCCCATGTCGATAGTCACAGCCTCAGAATGCGACACTAGTCTGGCCCATACCGGGAGTCACAGCCTCAGAATGCGGCGCTGGCCCTTGTCGGGAATCAGACCCAGGTCCTTCACATGCTGCTCCACAGGTTCCTATTGAGTCAGACAAGCTAATGATTGACAACACCTGGTAATCCACAGTGAAGCCTCATTTGTCCTGTCACAACTGTGTACCATTAGCCACTGAAACATAATACATGTTTAATGGAGGGGGGGGGGAGTGAACACCGTTCAAATAATGGGCCGTTTTTCTGCACCAACAAGGAATCAGGTAAGGGAGGAAACTGGTCAGCAAGTGGCGACACAGGCCCTGTTCACGCAGGGCTATGTGGGCTCTCACCAAAATATTACTGTTTATTCACTTATTTGTGTTTTCTGTGGCTGAAGCTGATTCTGGATCTTTCTGTTTGCACTTAGGTGTTCACCAGTAAACAAAGCTTACGTATTCCGCCAAGGTCACGCTCAATCAACAGCCGCCCCAGGCTGTGAGTTTGCTCTTCAAAGGAACTTCACTCAACAGAGTCCTAGAGTTAAAAAAGAAAGCGATGAAACATTGATTAAGAAAGAAAAAGCTGGCCTTTTTTATTTCCAGAACTAAAGTAATCTTGATGGGTTAAAAAAAACTAAATTAGATAAAGAAAGGAAGGAGACGGCCTGTACCGCGTCGCTCTACAAAACACAATTGTGACCGTCCACCTTGACGAACAGCCCTGGCCGTCTTCAGTGGCATTTTCTTCGTATGAGGGAAAAATTACAACGCTTGAATGGCAGAAATAAAATCTCCGCTCGCTTAACGGGCAATTATTAAAAGAAGCGCAAGGCAGTGTTTCGATCGGCCGCGACGGTAAGGCACAGGCAGAACAAATCACCGCCGTCCCGGATAACGAGCGTGGCGAGCCGCGCCTTGTATTATTCTAAGGAATTAGTGCCGCGGTTGTAAGACGAGGAAACTATGGGCCTTTCCCATGTTACCCTGCATTCTCGCTGCTGAGAACGTCTAATTAAGCGCAGCACCTGCAAGCAGAAGGAAATGATTAACAGCGGAGAGTAACATGTTAATGACCTGGACACATCTGCTGGGAGAGGCCACGATAAAGCTGGCTGCAAATTTAATTATACACGGTGGTTGGAGACCTTTGGGCATTATTTACCTCATTACAACAGGTTAGTGTTTTAAATAAATTTCTCGCGTGTGTGACTGCGCTGTTGCGCCCTACTGTACATCTTTGGATCCTTTCAAAGTTTTCCCGTTATTGATCATGATGGACTCGAAACGCAGATTCCACTTCATTGGCCATCTGGGTGCGGTGTGATTCCGTGAAGCTGTCACGCACGTGCACATTAATCTTTAACCAGTCTTCATATCAACCTACATATTGCCATATATATATATATATATATATATATAGTGTGTGTGTGTGTGTATGACGCTGTGTTTTTAGTGTTCAATGGAAATCAGGATGCAACACTGCCCTCTTTTGATCCATTATAGGATTTCACTCAACGAAAAGACATTCACGGGAATACGAGGTGGAGAAAGTTAAATGATTAAGATTACTCGCTTGTATATGTCGCAGCCTGAAATACCTTGGTACGATCCTTAGTTTGGTCGGTTTGGATTTTTTTTTTTTTTAATTAATGACAACCCACTTCACAAAAAAAAAATCACACGTAGTAACTTGTTTCAATACACGATTGACAGCACGATCGACATATACATTTATTTTCCATAATTTGTATAAAGCAAGTATAAAGCAAATTGTATAAAAAGGCTAAATGTGATAATAGTGAATGTCTCACAGAACCTACTACTGAGTGCTGTCAAACCACCTAGCTGACCTATTGGCCAATCAAGTGTGACATCTAAAGAGGAAATGGAAAAGAGGAGTGGCCTGGCATCCCACTCCCAAAGCAGCACTGTGTCATGTGACGTGACACGACCCCCCCTCACAGGTAGACATAGGCACTGTGCACAGGGCTATGGCCACAATCTCTAGGGGAGCAACTGCTTTCACTGGGCACCACCATCGGGGCTGGCGTGGACCCCTCGGTGCAGACTGCCCCTCTGGGGTCACCGCCATCTTCCCCCTTTGAGGGAACAATCTCGATGTCCGCCGTCATACAGTCCATGTAGCGGTTTTCCAGGCTGGCCCACAGCTGCAAGCAGAGATCAAGAGGAACGTCGTTTTCAGGTGAAATCCCGGAGAAGAACACAGACGGAAACAGAACCTGCTGCTATAAGATGGCTTATCTCTATACTGTCATCACTACTTGCTTATAAATGGCATTTTCCATCACTGCAGAGCAAACTGAACAGCTTTCGTAAGACACCCATTTGGGGGAAAGGTACACAGCATGTAGAAAACTATACAAAAGAAAAGTAAACTTAGCATTATGGTTATGTCATGATCTGAACTGTGGAGGAATGGAAATCTCATCAAGCCACTTATAATGAATGTATATTTGACTGATTCAAACCTGAGACTCGTCAATGGTCAACAGGCGACTGACTATGTTCTTTGGGTCAGGGACTCGAGAAATGCATTTTCTTTTTATCCTAAAGAGAGAGTCACAATGTTGTCACGCCAGTTTGCCATCTATCACTTCATCTTATCTGCTGCATTTCGCAGAAAAATAAACATTGCCTACAATGTACCGGCTTCCAGGTTCGAAAATGCAGCACATATTCAACATACACGAATGACACGATGTACAAAACTTGTTTTCATAAGATTTTAGATAAGCAGAGTGTCCCCTTTAGACAAATGCATGAGTTAAGCAGAAAAAAATAACTTGAAAGCACTTGCCGCTTTTCTGAAAATAGGCAGTACAGCAAGAAAACGATCAGGGGTATGAGAATCAGAGGCATAAAAATGTTGAGGTTTGTGTCCGTAGGCCGAGCTGTGGGGAGAAGAGAGAGATGCATCCCTTTATGATGGCACTGCACTGGCCTGGACTTTTAATGTACATTGTACCTCACATGAACAAAGCATGTTCATTCAAATGTGCTGAGAATGAATCTGCCAAGATCTGAGTGAAAGTGTTCAGCTTGGCCTGAGGGTTCCTTCTAAGTTTGGGTGCAATTTACCATAATTGTATGAACATCTTTTTGGTGTCCCACTGAAAAGTCTTCAATCTCCCCCCGTGACTGAAACCCCATTGTTTCAGGTGGGTCATACAGTATGATCCTGTTCTCAGCACCACTGTGAAAAGCCAGTATTCTATGTTGGGCTATTAAATGCCCTAAGGGCTGGATGCATGCTAACCCTAAATCCAAGAGATAGACGTAAAGATCACCTTCAGGAGGTGGTGATGCATTGTTCCACCACTTCTCCGGCGTCCACTGACTCCAAGACTCTGGGGGGGGACAGCTGTACTTCATCCTCACTCTAAACGCATAGCTCTTCCTCCAGTTTGGACTGGGCAAGGTGTAGGAGAACCCAGCAACTTCTGAACCCTACATAAGACAAGGATATGGCAAAAATCACCGTCTGAGGGCAGAAAAGCAGCTCATTACTCACCCTTCTGGCGGGAATGTTCTTATAGAGCACAGGACCTGTGATTGAAAGGCACCAACTACAAACATGTTCATTTAGTTCTGATGTAATAATGTATACTTGGGTGGTGGTGCTATGATGTTCAAATAAATGTTTTATGTGCATTTTTGGAAAATTTATTTGGTATTTATAAGGCTTTCAAACCCCGAAGCCTGGTTGGAAAGTGTAAACACGCTCACCTTTAAATACATGCTTCTTGCCAGCACCCTTTTGACTGTATTAGTAATAATGTATAAATCTTCCATGCAAAAATAAATAAATAAATAATCATCCTACATATGAAGTCGTTTCAAACAGAAGGGGAAGTGCAACCTACCTCCCACCTGCCATCTGTCAGGCTCCTGAACTGTACGTTGGAGGAGTAACAAAGGTCACCGACGCTGGGCTGTGGATTATTCCACTCTGCTACTATGGAGTCCATCGTGTTTCTTACAGTCAGCTGTATTTTACTGGAATTGATATCTGAAAGAACGCATGCATTTTTTCCGGGGCAGGTAGAAAAGCCAGAAGTGTGTGAGTCCATATTTCTTGAGATCATCACATTTTCCCCCAACATAGAATGGAAATCTTTAATGGGGAGGGATCTTCTGAATGCAGATTTGAAAAACAAATGATCAACAGCCGTTGGAGTCGTGTAACACACACACACACACGTTATTTATGACACGACAATGTAACTGGTTACCTGGTTCTGACCATGAAATAATTCATGCTGATTCAGTCAGCTTGACTAATTGGTATTTGAAGGTCTTCAGTGAGTTGCAAAAGCCTAAACTAGGTGAAAAGAGCTATACTCAATAAGACTATGTTTGAATTTATATTTAGAACCAGAAGAGGTGAATATCGAGGATTTGAGATGGACAGGAAATAAAGTAGTTTATTCTCTACAGTTCGTTATGATAGCAAAAGTCAGTTATTATGAAAGAATTTGTCACAGAAGGACACCTTCTCCCTCCCTGGAACAAAAGAAACGTATAACCTTACCTGCTTCAAAGGAGTAGGTTTTAAAAATGTGACACATTAATAAATCACCTACAAATTGTACTTTCCAAAGGAAGTCTACGGCAAGTACTCTTGGGCGGTTTATGGTTATGGTCTGCAAGACGCCCTTTCGGCACGTAAAACATCCTTATCGATGCTAGCTGTATCTGCCTTGGTTTATCAGACGTGAACATCAGCTGCTCTGCGCACCTTCAGCTGAAAGCACACACTTGTTCCTTTTCAGAAAAAAAAACCCCAACCACAGTGAAAAGGTTGGGGTGTCCATCTTATCTCGTAGGGCGTTCTGACACAACTAACGACATATGAGCGTTCGAACAATGTATGGATTTATGACATTCATATCCGTTTACAACACAATATACATCAGGAAAATACGACCATTAACCCACAACAATCACGAAATGAAGATTTCTGTGCAGGTCACGTTTATGCTTATGCAATTTTACAGAGAATTTCCTGGCGACTTTGATGTGGCATAGGTGCGGCGCTTTCTCACACAGCATCCTCCGGCTTTTCCACAGTCGCGCAGTACAGTCAGATGTTCGTTTTCAAGGCGACTCGACGGCCGATTTTTCCCACGCATTTAATCGCGCCCCTTTACACCTTTGCTAGGCTACGGCTGACTCGTCTAAGTCGAGGCAAATGTTTAGATACGATCACATTTTACAGATGAAAGGTTTTTTTTAATTGATTTCTGCTTTAGGTTTTAGTTTAGGTTTAAGTTTGTTACGGATATGTACAATCTATTAGCAATACTAATTTGTTACATAACATAGGCTACAGCCTATTATTTAGCTGCCGTATAATTGGTTAAAGCTTAATTAGCTCATTTTGTGAGTAGACTGACAATTTCTAGATGTGTCTGGGGGTGCGTATATCAGTCGGGGTTTAGATTTTATTAAATTAGAGTTAATGAAACTCATCCTAAATTCAATATATGAAACAAATGTTGCAAATACATATCTACATAACGTTTTGCCGATTATCAGAACACAAATTGCACTTAGAAAAGACTAGCTAGACTTCGACTTGAATAGTCAGTGAAGTACGTCTTACCTGGTCGGTACATCACTCCGCCGGCGAGCTGCGCAGGGACTGGCGGCGCCAGCGGGATCCGCAGCGCCCGTCGCTTCTCCGTCACCTCGCTTAACGTTAGGAAATTCTGTCACTTGACTAGCGCACAGGTGAAATCAGCTTGAATAATTAACAAGGCAACAAAAAGGAGAGCGTTCGTACTGCAGACTGATCTGACACTTTGCCGTACATTTGTTGATCCTAGGTGAAATCTTATAATCCACACGTTCTCTCCCTCCACTCGGACCACTCCGTGAAAGTGATCAGTGTTCCCGACAGTAATTATCCCTTTCACAGTTTGTATGAACGCCGATGGCGGTACCAAACACAATATCACGCAAAGACAGTTAACTGAAATGTCAATTTAATTTCCCACTGAATTTTAACTTTGTGCCGCTTGCCGTGACGAGGTCCAGTTCAGCTGCACCAATTGTCTAATCCTCCTTCGTCAAATTGTGCCTTAAATGATATAAATGGTATTGACTTGCACTCTTTACTTTGCTACCTCCTTAATGTTAGTCAATTTGCCAGTTATAAAAGTAAACTAATGAAAATCTTACCTGAAAGCGTCGAAATAAATTTGCATCCACGTTAGGATTGTATCAGCAAAAAAAAACTAATTGACAACCAGGTCTGCTGTCATGCCATTATGAATCATTGTCTTACAGTTTCTTAGAACTGCAGAACAGCCGTCTATCATTGCTTTTAATCTGCGATATGCCGGGGAACCACCTGAGTAAAATTCGTTAGCTAGAATTTAGCTATATTAATTTTGCTGTAATGTATTCATGTTTTCTAAGCTTTTTTCAGCCCTTTGTTAATTCGCCTACTTATGCAGTTGTAAAAGATCGCTACTAGGTGTCGTGACACTCGTCTACCATGTAAGAATACTGGATTGCTCGAAACCCTTTAACGCAGAAACCCAGATCCGAAGTCTTCTACAATGAAGGTCATATATAAACCTCATGAGAATCGATATGAATTAAAGCCTTGAACTGGGCATACATGATTCTGTATAATTATGTAGTAAACTAATCAAAACTAACGTTCCCTCCCCATTTATGAAAGAACGTATTCTTTTAGGGAGATACGTTTAATGTATTTATGGATAACACCGGACCCAAGTCAGTCAACGAACTCTTTCTTAAATTAAAAAATATGTTATTTCGATTTGCTTAAGCCTGTGACCTTTCTGTGGAGGGTAATCACTGTTGTAAACAACTAGTTATTGAAAGGACAGACTTACTACCATATCTCTTCTTCCATTCACTTTTTGGAAGACAATGCTGTTGTTGTGATCATCAGCAAAATGCTTAGAATTATTTCAGGTCGGTTCCAGCCTCCGATTTTCAAATGCTCCCGTGATTAAGCCGGTCCTCTAGGAATATTAGGGGTAATAAATTAATTCGAGCACTCGCAAGATGGCAGCAAAGTCACTTCTTGGTCATGCATTCTTCTCTTACTGGCAAAACAGTGGTATGGACTCAAAATATTATTTTTTGTGTGAAATCACAAAAGAACAGTTGAGATTGACCATGAATGGAAGTGCTAAAGGAGTTGGAGAGCACTGAGCACTGCTACACTGCACCTCCCGGCATCAGGTGTCCACTGGGAAGCCATCAATGTTTGTCCAGAAACCACAGCGAGACTAGGGCTGTCATGAACAAAGCGTGGAATTCCAGTGATAGGTTGAGCTAAAAGGGTGAAAGAGGAACTAAATCAAAGCAGTGCAGGATCAAAGAAGGAAACAATAAAGTCAACATTGTTGCCATGGGACCAGCAGAAGATGCATATCCTTTATGAGTTAGTCTCGGGCTCGCTCTGAAAGGGGGGCCCGGCCGCTTTTTTATGGAATGGGGGGGTTAAGAGCCTACAGGTTAAAAATCACAGGTCAGAATTGTACAAAGGAAGTTACACCCAGCGATAAATCTTTACAAATGTTAGATCTGGCGAAGCGATAATAACCTTGACCTTTGATACAAGCAAGGACGCATATTTCAGAAGTTGTGGTGTTTACCTTCTCCATACATATGTGTGCAGTTGTGTGTGCATTTATTATAGAAATTCACTGTAAAGATTCCTGTGATTTATAAAAGTTGGAAAAATGCAAATATTCTTATTCTAACCCACATTATATGAACTGTTTAAACTCAGACTGAAGTTTTAATATGTCCTGTTGTCTACGTAAGTCTTCTGCTGTTTAATCTCAAATTGCAAATGTTTGTTTTTAAATCTCTAAATGGCATTGCTCCACCGAATCTATCTGAATTATTAACCGTCAGGAGACACAGCAGAACCCTGCGATCAGCTGACCAACTTCTCTTAGAAGTCCCAAGATCTAAATACAAACAATGGGGAGATAGAGCGTTCTCTGTAGCTTCACCCAGTCTATGGAACAAACTACCCCCAGAGATTTGTACCATTTCTGACCACAACCATTTTAAATCGAAACTCAAGACTAATTTATTTCGGAAAGCTTTTAATATTTAGTCAGGGCTGACATTTTACTGTTCCATGCACCGAAATGTTGTGTCTCTCGACATTCTATCGTGTTTTATGTATTGTGTTTCTCATATTTGTTGTAGTGTATTTGTGATACCGTATTCTGTTTTTATTTCACCCAGTTTTTATTTTACATCCTATTTTTATATTTTTAGTTTTGATTGTGAAGCGCCTTGGTCACGTTAGTGTTGTAAAGCACTATATAAATATAATGATTGATTGATTGATTGAAGGGTTTGTATTCACGCTGGAGGAGCCACAGATTAAACACACATCACTTAACAAATGATTCCTCTCTGGCTGATTATCAGCGGAGTCTTCAGAAGGATGAGGAGTGATACAAACATCCCTCCATTACCTTACTGCTTGAATCGAGGCAAACTTGAATCTAGGGAAGAGGTGCTGAAACTGTACACAATTAAAATTTCACCCTGAAAACACACAGTTTGCAGTGCAGTACCTGAGCAGTTTTTAGGAAAAGCCTCCTGTACCTGTGACACACTTCTAATGAGCAATGAAGAACAACAATATGCTACATGCCAGTGCAATTAATGCTCCAGCTATTGCTACTTTGAGGTTTTATCCATTTGTACAGCTGGATATTTTACTGGAGAATTGAGCCCAAACACTGAGCTGGAATCAGCTTTCTGGACTCAGGTCTCCCTTCTCACCTGTTACCTGAACACACTCCTCCTCTTCCATACTGCAATGTTACTTTTTAGACACAGGAACATTAATGCACCATTGTGAACCCCAAAGTGAATACTTGCAATCACTGAAAATACATAACAGGATTGTTATTACCAGTTTCCAGGATTCAAAAAATGAATGTGCTCACGTCTCTTTACAGACAAGCATCTTATAAGTATATAAGCGGTGATGACGCAAGCAAAACTAAAAGCTACACAGAAGAATGAAACTGTGAAGCATGCAGATCAACAGAATAATAAAACTGTCACTGAGAAATCAGCATGCAGATCACTAACTACACAGCTGAGTTTTTACTGGTCTTGTATCATTTCGTGATTTCTAAGAATCACAAGTTTACAGCAACATGTGAATCATGTGTTTTTTTTCCCTCAAAGAGATGTCCACAATCCTCAAACATATTGAAAACAATCAGTATGTCATACATTTCCATTTGCAGCATTTGGCAGATGCCATCAGCCAGAGGGACTTACATAAGTGCTTAGGAGTTGCATGTGTGCTCATACAAAAGAGGTCGTTTTTTAGTCGTTGTGACTCAGCTGTTCAGGCATCTAGGAGGAGTTCATTCCACCTCATAGGTGCCAAAACAGAGAAGAGTCTAGATGCATGTCTTCCTTGCACCTTGAGAGATGGTGGTACCAGTTGAGCGGTGCTGGAGGATCGGAGAGAGCGTGGTGCAGTGCTGGAGGATCGCGACAGCGTGGTGCAGTGCTGGAGGATCGGAGAGAGCGTGGTGCAGTGCTGGAGGATCGCGACAGCGTGGTGCAGTGCTGGAGGATCGGAGAGAGCGTGGTGCAGTGCGGGGTGAGATAAGTACTTTTAGGCAGGAAGGGGCTTTTAAAGCATCTTTATTCCGACGTAAAATTTCTATACTTTCTAACATACATGCAATATTTTAAAACAGCGTATATTACATTCACCAAATGGGTAGTTTGTTTCAAACTGGAGAGACACTGAACTTGTCCCGGAAATATCATGATCAAAACAATTAAAAAGATGCTGCGCAGCAACACATTCTTTGTGCCTGTCAGTGGTGCATTTATGCTGTGCAGCAAATTCAAATCACACCCTTGCTCTACCAGAAAAGCTTTCGCCATAATTTAACCACCGTGCAGCTTAAACACTCTGTTAACCTTCATTTAAAAAGTCCAAATAGTAGTTTAGTTTCTAAAGTGTACAACCATGGCCTTTACTTAAAATATTTGTGTGGAGTATGATGATATTGCCTGAAATGAGCAGGTCTATATGCTATCCTTTGGAGGATTTATATGAAATCAAAAGACAAAACTGAATTCAAATGCTGCAGATATCAGCTCTAAGGAACAGAGCTGAGAAACCTGCTATTTGAATCTGTAACTGTGCTGTTATAATTTATACCACAAAAAGGACATTTCCTCAGTGGTCCAACAATCAGTGGCAGTCCCCTTAAAAATAATATGCCTTTTCTATTAGTGTCTTGTGTTTTTCAACTCACCCCACAATGAATGGTGTACAGAGGCATGTCCTTTACCTCTGAAATGTATTCATGGCTTATGAACCCCCACATGGCTGATTTAAACCGGAAAACATTCAGAAATTAAGCTAATTTTTCTAACACTGTAAAAAAAAATTACGTGCAAATCACTGTAAAAATAAAGGAAGCCACAAAGGAATAAGATCACAGATAGAATAAAAGTCGAGATGGAGGCTGCCCAACAATTTGACAGATGTGGGCTTTCAGCTTCCTCTACAAGCACCTGCATGTAAGCCCTGAACATGAGCTTTTCATTTGCCTTTTAAAAAATGACTCGGACCTCATGAATTATCAATGACTTTCACTGCAACACTTAGAAGCTAAATTACAATCTAAACATTATTTACTCAGGATGTACAAGCAACGCTGGGCATGGAACCAACCTTAATGATAGTATTTTTACAAAAATCACTAAAAACAATGACAGCCAAAATCCAAGACTCTCAACCATAAAAAAAGCATAAATATCTAACTACATTTCTTATATGCAAAGATATCTTAGAATACAAAGGCAGGAACAGGCATCCCGTGGTAACGAATGTTCATTGCGATATATCGGGCAATCAACTCTCCTATAGACATAAATCCGAGGGATAAGTGAGAGACTAAGCCAAGCTTTATTTAAAACATGTAGATTATCAGTGAACAGCTGGTAACAGCTGGTGTCCTTCATGCAAAAAGTGTATTTCGAATTTTCACCATCTTGCCATTGTGTAGTCCCCGTTCCCTTTGCTGTATGTCTGACTTTGTTTCCATGAAAAATCTTCTCTTTCCAGCAAAATCTTTATTTTTCTGGAAGGTCCTGGAACTGGAGGAAACAGCTTCTCCCAGATTCTGAAACAAAAGCAGCATGGACATACTGAACAGAGAAGTATTTTATGAAGATTACTTCAGTCGTCTGTTTTCATTTTCATCTTCTAAGCTCTCATCCTGAACAGGCAGCATGGGAGTCTGGAGCTTATCCCAGTCCGTCACAGGGCACGGGGCGGGGGTACACCCTGGGCGGGACGCCAGTCCATCACAGGGCACGGGGCGGGGATACACCCTGGCCGGGACGCCAGTCCGTCACAGGGCACGGGGCGGGGGTACACCCTGGGCGGGACGCCAGTCCGTCACAGGGCACGGGGCGGGGGTACACCCTGGGCNCGGGGGTACACCCTGGGCGGGACGCCAGTCCGTCACAGGGCACGGGGCGGGGGTACACCCTGGGCGGGACGCCAGTCCGTCACAGGGCACGGGGCTTTTTATTTTATTCTTATTTTTTCTTTTTACTTTTAGTTTATTGTATGATTGTTAACTTGCTGAAATTCTTAATTCTATTTTTGATTTGCACAGTCTAAGGGTCACTCAGGGTACATTTCACTACATGTTGTTCTTGTATAACTATGTATGTGACAAACAAAGTATCTTGAATTTTGGATCTTGAACTTTGCACACAAAGAGCAGTGGCAGGATCCAAACAGCACAAAATGAAGACCACAGTTAGCCTCAATACTACCTAATTTCATTTTCACTTCTGGTCATTTCTTGACCTGCTGATGCACGGCCTTCTTGGATAATGGATAATTTGGCTGCCTTTGTTAGTTTTTATTTCCTCCTACATCCTGAGGATTTCCTGCCCCCAGAACAGGCCACTCCTTTGCCTGTGTGTTTGGTTTGGGTGTCAAATGAGCCAAGTTCAGAGAAGAACATCTCCATTCTACACATTTATTTTTTGGTTTGGATTGAAAAAGTTAATATGTAAGCTGAGGTGGTAATGAGCTCTTCAGTGAACTAGTGGAATGAGATTAGTCAGAGAATGGAGGGTGGAACTGAGTCCTTCACTGTGAAGAACACCCTTCATAAGACTAATCTGTTCATCAGTATACTGGACATGCACCTTCCTGAACAGGCTCTCCTGCAGCAGAGGTCTTTTATCAGTGATGAGGAATGCGGTGCCGTTGTATTGTGTTAGAAAGCTTTTTGCTGCTTCCCCTTTCGTAGTTTTGTACTGAAACTCTGCGGTCGCTCCTCGAATTCTTCAGATGCACGTTTTCTATATCAGCACCAATATGGGTGACAGGTGGGAAGTGTGTGTGTGTGTGTATGTGTTAGTGAGTGTGTAAATGTGTGTGTGTGTGTTAGTGAGTGTGTAAATGTGTGTGTGTGTGTTAGTGAGTGTGTAAATGTGTGTGTGCTAGTGAGTGTGTAAATGTGTGTGTGTGTTAGTGAATGTGTGAGTGCTAGTGAGTGTGTGTGTTAATGAGTGTGTGTGTAAATGTGTGTCTGTTAGTGAGTGTGTGAGTGTATGTGTGTGAGTGTGTGTTTGTGTTAGTGAGTGTGTGTTTGTGTTAGTGAGTGTGTGTGTGAGTGTTTGTGTTAGTGAGTGTGTGTGTGTGTGAGTGTGTTTACTTTGTTTACACTGGTGCACGCCAGGAGGAGGGGCTCACCTCATTTTGTTGAGCAGCAGGACGGAAAGCAGTAACATGGGGAGGCAGAGGGTCATGCTGACAATCATCACAAGGCTTATTTCAGGGGGGTTGGTGGGATTCAGCACTAGAAAATAGAACCAGAACATGGGCATATCAGAACATCGCATGTTTGTGTGTCGTGCCGCATAAAACATCACACTGGTCAATTCCTAGAGCCCAGCAGGAGCCCTAGTTGATTCTACCACTAAAAATCAAAACAGGAACTTGGCATTCAGACTACATCAGAAACAGCATGCCCATTACTTTCATATAGCAGAAGTGTCATACCCAACACGTCGCTCCAGTCACTCCATATGTGGTTTACTACGCAAGTATGAGTTTTAGTGACTCTCATCTGCACAGTATACCTCCTCGTCGGGTCTGCCCCTGGTATAGTATAGTCCCTTTGTGTAATAATATTAATAACCTAAAAACAGATTTGAAAATTCAGACACAAGCTTCCTAACTATGAAAATATGTGGCTACAGAAAGGGTTACAGATCTTCCCTGTATTTCCCTGTGGAGTGAATCGATATGCCTGCATCAAATTATTTGACCAAATAAAGTTAGCTGAAAGTAATTTCTCAAAAAGTTACAGAAACATTTGCCTGTGAATATAAGTATTAGCTACAAATCCTTGTGAGAAGAAGCCAAGTACCTACAAGAAACCTTTGTGAACACAACGAGAACCAGGTGCAAATCTAAACTTTTGATCAATGAAAATACAAAGACACTATTATTGCTACTGTAAAGCAAAGCAGCCGGCAATATCATGCATATACACACATTAGACAGATGGCAACATTACCTCAGAATTATTGTTGATTTTTAACTGGTAATTGAAGCAATGGTCAGGAATGCTGGATGGGGGATCCCATCTGATTACGATATTTTTAGAAACACCTGACATTGATATATTCTGAGGAGGATTAAGTTTTTCTGGAAAAAAAATACACACCCGATGTAAATATATGCAAAATGTCTTTCTATGTAACATTCTAGCAAGCAGATATGTATTAATACACTTTTACCAATGCTTTTTATGTTATAACCCTGAGAATGGAGGTACCACACATCTGGGAGTGACACGTTGATCTGTAAATTCATGAATAATGACTCGTAATTAATTATAGCCTGGCATGCCACAACATCTCCGTTTGTGCTGGTGGAACAGTTCCCGTTTGTGGTGTTGTGGCCAGGCTGTCTGAAGACAGAAGAGTATCAGTCAGTTATTCTAGCTGTAGACATGGAAAACACTTTAATAATAATGTTCAGCATACTTTTATTATCATGGTTGGAACTGCTTAAGTGAAACACGTTAAGTCAAGTTAAGTAAAGGCCTAACAACAATTGGGTAAAGTCTAGTTGGTCATATTGTCTTTCTGTATTGTCATATTTCTGTACAGCTCCCTCCTTCTGCACAGATCCCTCCTTCTGCACAGATCCCTCCTTCTGCACAGCTCCCTCCTTCTGCACAGCTCCCTCCTCCTGTACAGCTCCCTCCTTCTGTACAGCTCCATGCTGCAGATTCTCTGCTCTATCCCAGTTTTTCCAGGTGTTACTTTTTGCACCAGTAAACACCCATACGTTTGTTCCCCTCTAATACCTTTTGGTTATAGAAAACATAATTTAAGCACACGGCGAGGGAGCCACAGTGACATGCAGTGCTTACTTGACAGTAAGGGAGCTCTGAGCATCCGAGGGCAGCTTCAGGGTCGCCCAGGAACACTGCAGATGTTGATGGTTGTACACAATGCAGGAAAGGTTTTTCAGAGGAAGCCCTTCCATGCCTATAGGAATACCATGAACTGAAACAAACTGCATTGCTTATGTCTTGTGGTCTAAACCATAATCAACAACATTTTATTTCATAGCACCCACTACATCTAATTATCAGTCACATATAAACTGTCCTTCAGACCTTTCTGTGACAAAGTTAAGTGAATAGGATATAAAATATATCTTACTCTCCAAGTAGTTTGATTTGGTGAAGTTTTCATAATCGACTTGAGGGAGTCTTGAAGAATTTACTTTGGTCATATATCCACTCTGGTTCCTCAAGAAAAGGGTGACTTTAAACTGTGATGGAATTGAACATTTTAGTTGTGATATTCTCTACATTTTGAGTGTTAATATGCAACAAGCTTTCAGTTTAATAATAATAGATGCCTTATTGACCCCTGGGGGAAATTCTCTTTACACCTCCCCCAACTTGACCTCTGCAGATGAGAACAAGCTGGCCATGAAGGACAGCCACCCCCAGCAGCATCCAGGGAGCTGGGGGTTAAGGGCCTTGCTCAAGGACCCGCAGTTGTGCCAAGACCAGGCTCGAACTGGCAACCTTCCGATCACAGGCACCGAGGCCGGGTCACTGAGCCACACACTGCCCCCATGTGTGTAGACTTTCACCATCATATACTTTTCAGATGTAAACATTTCAATGCAATTTGAAACAAGTAATAAGCAGATAGCTTGCATGGCATAGCTAGGATATTCTACTTTGAGTGTCTCTTACAATGTCATGCTCATAGTCTTCATCATCATAGTCTTCATCATCCTCCTCGTCGGTTTTTGAGACTTCTGCCTCTGCCTCTGCAATACGTTTAATTATATGTAAGCTGTACTGAAGTCAGTTGTACATGGCGGACATGCGATCTGGGTATTTTCTTTGATTGACGGTAGCTGACCGACTTACGCACCATTCAGGAAACGTGAAGCGCCCAGTGCGGCTAAGAGGACCCACAGAAGAACGCTTTGGGCCATGCTACAGTACGTCCTGTCAAACAGGGTGATATTATGCTTTCTGTAAAAAGACTTATCACTGTGATGATTGGTAACAAGCAGGTCACATTATAAACCATGACAAAACAAAAATATTCAAAATGCGAAAACCTGAATAATTGTTAATTTACTATACTTTCAGATTTTTCCTTCTCTTCGTACCTACCAGTTAAATATTGTAAGACATCTGGCCTCACTGAGAAAATCACTGAAATATCTTACCATTTATTAAAATAGTGTTTTAAGCTTTCTCCAGTATCCCAATACTATAAGAATCGTAACACGTTGTGTAACACAGGCTGTAACACACGGTGCGTTTTAATATTCTCAATTATAAGAAAAGTGAAAATAATTCCGATGTTAAACACAATCTGTAAAGTAATTAGTACTCCCAAACTCCAAAACTTGCCTTTCCGTTTGGATGTCCTGCCAGGACGAACACGTTCAGCTTCTTTCGAAAAATGCAAAAAAAAGAGAAAAAGTTTCACTTCTCTTACTGGAAAGCATTCTGGACGGAAGTTGCGATATGTGTAACTAGGAAGAGAGTGGTGTAAAACTTATACTTTGTAGCAAAATTTTATGTATTTTACATATTGTGCCCGTTAATATTATCATTTTGAAAACTCAGTTAAAGTCAACCAACACATCTTTATAATGCTTAGGTTTTAAGATAGACAAAGCGGATATATATACGTCACGGAGTTATGTACGTAGATTTGCTTACATCTGCTGGGAATTTCCAGACTCTGCTTTCGGAGGCATTTTACTCCAACGCTTCCTAATTCTATGTCTACCGTAAAACCGGCACACAAACACGCATATATGAAAGGTAAGACAACAAGTAGATTGGCTGACAGACAGACAGACAGAGCACAAAAATATTACAGGAAAGCCAGAGAGAAATTCCGGCTTGTTTTACTGTAGTCAGTCATCTCATTTCAAAATGCGCGCATACATTTCTGGTCGCCTATACACAGGCAAGCTGCAGGAGGCATAAAAACGCTAATTTCACTATTTATTTTAATATTGTACAAACATGAACGAAATATTGATTGCAAGTGTAAATGATTTATGTTTTATTGTCCATTTGCCAACATGTACCCAGATACAGGCACGTAGGCAGTTATTAAAATAGGAGTTTGAAAGATTCCCCCACCAGTCCCCTCCCAAAATTTGTTAGCTAGCCTACCTATGAAGCATGTAGCCAGGTAGTTAAATTATACGTTTGAAATTTATTTCCGCCCCTGGGTCGGCGAAATCCAAGGAGGGCGACCCATCGGTAAGGTATAAACTGACGTACCAGTAGGGGCGCTAGTCCACTGGCCAGCTACCACCCCCCCAAATCGCAACTGACTACAGTCGTGGCCAAAAGTTTTGAGAATGATACTAATATTGGTTTTCACAAAGTTTGCTGCTTGAGTGTTTGTAGATCTTTTCGTCAAATGTTTCTATGGTATACTTAAGTATAATTACAAGCATTTTGTAAGTGTCAAAAGCTTTTAACAATTACGTTAAGTTCATCCAAAGAGTCAATATTTGCAGTGTTGACCCTTCTTTTTCAAGACCTCTACAATTCACCCTGACATGTTGTCAATCAACTTCTGGGCCAAATCCTGACCGATGGCAGCCCATTCTTGTATAATCAATGCTTGGAGTTTGTTAGAATTTGTGGGTTTTTGTTTGTCCCCGCGCCTCTTGAGGATTGACCACAGTTCTCAATGGGATTAAGGTCTGGGGAGGTGCTCAGACCTGCCAGCTGCCGTTCCTGAGCTCTGCGCTGGTGCTGCCCTGTGGCCTGTACTACGAAGCGGGGTTACTGGCTTATCGGGGTAACTTGTCGGATTTAAGGTACCACAGTTTAAATGGACTTCATATTCGCTCACTTATATTTTGCCCAGACTACCTTAAATCCAACAAGTTACCCCGATAAGCCAGTAACCCCGCTTCGTAGTACAGGCCACTGATCCCACAGCTGAATTAACTGTTCTGGCATTTGCTGGACGTTTTTGGATGCCCTGAAGCCTTCACAACAATTGATTCAGCTGAAGAGCTGTGTGGTAATTAGCACAAGGAGGTGCAAGGAGCTGAATCAGGTGTGTTAAATGAGGGGAAACCCAAAAATGTGCAGGGCTCCGGGCCCCCAGGACTGGAGTTTGACACCCCTGTTCTTGATGATCTGATAAATGGTTGATTTAGGTGCAATCTTACTAGCAGCAATATCCTCACCTGTGAAGCCCTTTTTGTCCAAAGGAGTGATGACTGCACATGTTTCCTTGCAGGTAACCATGGTTAACGGAGGAATAACAACGATTTCAAACACCATCCTCCTTTTAAAGCATCCAGTCTGCTATTCTAACTCAATATGATCTCCAGCCTTGTCCTCATCAACACTGTCACCTGTGTTAACGAGAGAATCACTGAAATGATGGCAGCAGGTCCTTTAGTGGCAGGGCTGAAATGCAGTGGAAATGAGATTAAGTTCATTTTCATGGCAAAGAGGGACTTTGCAATTAATTGCAATTCATCTGATCACTTCACAACATTCTGGAGTTTATGCAAATTGCCATCATAAAAACTGAGAAGGCAAACTTTGTGAAAATAAATATTTGTATCATTCTCAAAACTTCTGGCCACGGCTGTACGTAAACGGACGAATACCCCTGAAAGTACTCATGAAGTCAGTCCCATTTAAGTTTCCAGCAAACAGACTGATTTGCTGAGATATGATGAGTTGATGACTCTCTCACTAAAGTGGAGTCATTGTCTGTGTAGAAAATGACACCTTATCGGATTAAAAATGACGACACCCCACTAAAACTTTTTCTAAGAAAGTTATTTAGACCTACTTCCTGCAAGATTACGTATATACTATTTAAACAATTATATTATGTGTTCGAGAATGTGGGGAAGTATCGACAATGTAGGCTAATATAAGAAATGTCGTAACCCTAAAAAAACGGCAAAAATCCGCCTGTTGTTTTTTGTAATTCGTTTTTTTCCCAGCACTGCTCTCACGCAGGGGAATGTATCACTCTATTTTGTCATATAGAATCTTCACAAATTGAGTTAGCCTACTAAACACACAGAATTAGTACTCAATTAGTTATGGTGAAAATATATGAAAACCTGAAATTATACTTCATAAACTGTCTACTTAAGCATAGAAATAAGCATGTTTACTTATCACAGATACTACAATTTAACATATATTATTCTGCCCCGATATTAAAAACAGGCTACATAGGACTAGGCCTACATATTACCGTAGCAATATATGCCCAAATACGGAATTATAGGTAACCGTGTTTTAATTGATAAATGTGGCTATTTGCGCGTTTTCTTCAAATGCAGTGGTGATCTAGTTCACCGTAGATTGAAGTCTTGTTAGTGTTACGATCACCACTTGCCGCACGATGAAATTTACGTTGTACGACGCCAGCTAGGCTACTAGTTACAACAATTTGCAATCAGTATTATAGAACAATATCATTACCAAAGAATATCAAAGGGAATTTTATAAGGACAACTACGCAGCGTAGAGCAAACTAACATTTTAAAACCTACACAATAGGCCTATGTCCCGCTATTCCAGAAGATATGGTTGTCTGACGTAGCACACATGGAAGTGGTTGCGAGTTTCCTGCCATCAAACCGGTTTTTGTACTAATTTAAAAGCTCTAGTAAGATGTCGTAATTACTTGCAGGTGGATTCCCAGTGCAGCAAGTCACAATTGTACTGGAAGAACATGGCCTTTGTATTTATCTGACAAGTACAGTACGCTAGACGGCCAGTGGAGCTTCGTATTACTAACGATTACACGGAATTATAGCCATTACAGCAAATCGCATTGGCCTTTTGATCCAAGTTAAGCTGATTGACTTGCATGGTTTTCATTAAAATCAATTAAACGTCAGCCTAGATATTCTCGTAAAGAAAATGAAGGTCTAAGTGCAGTATACGCTCTCGGTACGATTGCAAATGCGCGTAACAATGAATAAATAAACAGACATAAATTCACTCTTCCCTGTAACGGATTTGAGCACCTGTTCGGATTAAAATCACTACAGATTGGTTTACACAAGGATATTTGGCAAGGACATAAATATACTAAGAATTTGATCTTGCCACAGAAAACCCTAGGAAATAACTGCTAATAAGAGTTAATCAGGGCTGTAATTCACGAATATGGATTCTGAATGATGTTGTAATTGGAGGTACATTTTGCATTTCAAAAATATTTTTTAAAGAAAATCTTTCAAGTATGTTATTGAAAACATATTTAATTGTAATTTCTAACAAATCTATGATGCCGAACATGCTAAACACAAGCTATCTATTTGTCTTACATTTATTCAGGAAAACAGATTCGTTTATTGTATAAGTCGACTCTTACATTCGTAAATGTGGGGAAATAACCCCAGTAACAGTTTGATGGTAACAGAACTGACAACTTTAAACTTTTAAGACAAAAACTCCACTTTCCAGCATACATGCTAACAGCACATGGTTAAAAGACTGTTAAATAAACATCTGTCTGATCAATAATCAGTGGTAATTTCCTTATGATATCGAGGTAACGTTTTAGACTGAAATAATTTCCTTGAGAATAGCAAACATACATCCTGGTGCTTAAGATCTTACCGAATAAGAGGAAGTGATATGGTTTGCTGTAGTTTACATCGTTGTGGGAAAGTATGATATGGTAACAGAAATGATGCAAGATTCTCTGACACATAATTTGGAAAGATAAAAGTTACTTTTAAATAATTTAAATGTAATAGAATTATGAAATTGATTGTTCAGACATTTCCATCCATCCATCCATTATCTGCCTCTTATCTGGGGTGGGGTCGCGGGGACAGTCTAAGCAGGGATGCCCCAACCTCCCTCTCCCCAGCCACCTCCTCCGGGGAATACCAAGGTGTTCCCAGACCAGCCCACAGATATAATCTCTCCAGCGTGCCCTGGGGCCTCCTCCTAGTGGACATGCCCATATTTAGGCATTTTATAAACAAAATTGAATACATGAAGTGTTATCAAAAGAAAAGTGATGCAAAATATTTTTATTTCACGGCAGTCCATGATGGACAAAAACTACTGACCAGTTGGGACGACAAGAAACCATGTTTTTCAGCTGAATGACAGATTTTAAGAACGTATAATAATGTTATGGCCTTTGACATCTTATGATCCATATAAGTGAGTAACAAATGACTAAAATCAGAAAAATAACGGCATTTGAACAAAGCAGGCCAAAAATAATGACTCAAATGTACCTGCGATTACATGATCACCTGCCCACTCTTAAGTATACTGACGTTTCCAGCTCATGAGTATTAGAGATAATATTTGCAAACCGCAACCTCAAGCACAGATTCATAATCTTCCACAGAAGATGGATATTCATTTTTCCCCATAAACTATCATTTAAAACTAATATGGATGCCAATCACATTTTGTCTATGGGTCTATTTAATTGTATTCTATACATGTCTCACATTTACAGCCAGCTAACCAGACTTACAATGGATTTTTCATTGTGTATCATTAGGCTTAATTCAATCAGTATGTACATGTGGTGTCTCACTCCACGGTTTCTGAGAACCAAGGGTATATCGCTGTAACTTTTTGCTTTACGTCCGGCTAAATTTAAATCACCACTTCTCCATTTTAGGCTTCCTTTGCTGATGTTGTGTTCCTGCCAACCTCTGGTATGAAACTCCCTAAAATAACCCTTCCCTTAGAAAAGCACATTCTCTTAGGCAGGGGTGACCAATCTTATCTGCAAAGAGCCGCTGTGTGGCGGGTTTTCGCTGCAACTCCCTAATTATATTACTGATTAGAGGACTGATTGGCTGAGGAGTCCTCACACCTGGGTTTAAACAGCTGACCTGCAGGTTTTCCCAAAAACCTACATACACACCAGCCCTTTGTGGGTAAGATTGGCCGCCCCTGCTCTTACAAGTAGCCACAGCATAATCGTAGAGAAATCTGTGTGCACTCACCTCCTCGACATTTTATATTTCAGACTCAGTCTCCCTCAGCAAGATGAACAACTAAAGCTTCTAAAAGTGCAAATATCAGCTCTACCAATGGCTAAGACAGGAAAAGGGCCATAATGATAAAGGCTAAACCAGTAGAGTAGCTAGAAACTTTGGGCCCTTTGACAAAATGTCACCTCGGGCCCCCGTCCTGCTATCATTGTATCATTTTATAACTGTACATATTCCCTGTGGCCCCCCTGAATCTACCAGAGTGTCCATGCACCCCTAGCCTATAACAAACGAAATAATTTAACTGGAAAATTGAGTTTCACTGAAATTTTGCTAGAGCCCATCAATCCTGCGTCTTTGGCACCACCTGGAGGAACATTGCAGCAAGAGAAAAGGCAGCGATGAACGCGGTCACTCGAGAATTACCGGCTACACTTATTAATGTGAATTAAATTAATAGTCGAAATCAAGAAATGTGCTTATTGTACTATTAAATTACCGTTAGTATTGTACTGTTAGGTTTTGGCAAAAATGTCAGAGTCAGTAAAATAAAATTATCCATCAGTGCCAGACCCACCCACCCATCCATCCATCCATCCATCCATCCATCATCTGCTACTTATACAGGGTCGGTTTGTGGAGGCAGCAGTCCAAGCAGGGATGCCCAGGCCTCCCTCTCACCTGCCACCTCCTCCGGGGGATACCAAGGTGTTCCCAGGCCAGCGTGTCCTGGGTCGGCCCCGTCACCCCAGTTGGACATGCCGGAGACACCTCCCCAGGGAGCCGCACCAATAACCAATTCTTCAGACAAGGCTATGGTGACCCAGAGGCTACCTGGGACAAGCAACTGGTCAACTTTTGTGACAGAGATCCAGTTTTCCAGAAGAGCTCATCTGCTGAACTGCAGAGAGCAACACTACCTTGAGACTTGGAGATCCTCATACACACATTTAAATCTCAGGTGTTACATGTCATGGTCCTAAAGCTGCGCGCAGGCTGACCGCGTGTTGCCCTTAGACCCCAGCTCCATGGGGCACTGCGCGCTGGCTGACCGCGTGCTGCCCTTAGACCCCAGCTCCATGGGGCACTGCGCGCTGGCTGACCGCGTGCTGCCCTTAGACCCTAGCTCCATGGGGCGCTGCACGCTGGCTGACGCCGTGCTGCCCTTAGCCGCCAGCTCCGGGGGCGCTGTGCACTGGCTGACGCTGTGCTGCCCTTAGACCCCAGCTCCGGGGGCGCTGTGCGCTGGCTGACCGCGTGCTGTCACCTCCAAGCTCGCTCTCACCTGTCTGTGGGTCTCAGGGCGAGCAAGAAGAGGTTGGTGAAAAGAGAATTTCCCCACAGGGACCAATAAAGTATCACTATTCCATTAACTAACTAACAAACTACATGACCAAAAAAAATCGAAGTACCACTATACTGTTTAAACTGTTTATTATCTCAGGATGTGCAGGTTTAAAATTAAGACACATATATGGTCAAAATGTGCAAAAAATGTTAGAACATAAAAAGTACAGCAATTAAAAGGACATCTCACAGGTCAGCGGTTTGAGGCTTTCTGTCACTATGACACGGTACTAGGAAAAAAAAAAGTTTTGTAAACTCATAACGGACCTTTAATGGTAACATTACTTCCTCCACATAAGTCTCTTCACTCCAAGCCGCTAACACAAGTGAGGTCCAATCAGACAAACTTCTTGAATTCATCGTACAGGACCAGCACGAAGGCCGCGCCCATTCCTCGGAGCACGTTGGACAGGGTGCCTTTGAAGAACGCCTTGTGGCCTTCGTCCCGGCTGATCTTTTGCCAGCAGTCCAGCGTGCTGGTGTACATAATATCAGCTGTGTGTACAGAGGACAGAAAGTCAGACATACCCATAATGCTATGCAGGATTTATTCAAACAGATGGATGGATGGAAGTTAAATATACCCAGTGACAAAACAAAGTTAGACACCCAGAAGTAATGGTCCGATTTGGATGTAACTTGGTACATGTGCAAACCAGCGACGGGGATGCAAATGATTCGATTTGCAAATTATCAGCATTTGACGGGGTTTGATGGGAGTTGCATTGTGGGTCTGCATCAGGCTGGCTGGTCGTATTGTGCAATTGCCCCACATGTGGGGCATGCAGATGTTACATTCGCACAATGTTAGAAACAACGGGCAGGTGAGGGCACCCACAGAGGGCATCAAGGTTCCGGTCACCCAAGACAGACCACACCACGGGAGGATCGTCATATTGTGCGCCAAGCATTACAGAACCCAATGAGATCTGCGCCTGCCATCCGGACACAGGTATTGGACTCTCCACAACACCCCGTGTCATCCTGCACCGTGTCTCGACGACAGCTGGATTACGTGTTCACCGTCCCATGCGTAGGCTGCTGTTAACACCAGTGCAGAGACTGCTGCGTTTGGAGTGGTAACCCGGAGGCATGGACTGATGACGAGTGGCATCGTACCATGTTCAGCGATGAATCTTGGTTCTGCATTACCAGCTACAGGTTACAGCGGCTGTACCGGCTGTACTCCCTTCTGCAGCGTATCGCTGCGTGTACTCAGGCCCGGGGGGGTGCCACACCCTACTGACATGGGACCAGCAGTGTGCCCATACTGCCAGCTCTGTTGTTCATTTGATCTGACATTATAATCACTGCGATACAGTCACATGACCTTTCACCACGTACAGACACAAAGTACAATTTCTCCAAGATAAGGAGCGGCTTTGTGACAACCTGACAAGAGTCTCTTTTAATGAAGGTTATTTATTTACCTCCTTTGCGGCCCGACTGCATCATCATACGCCGCCTCACAGTGTCAAACGGGTATGACAGCACCCCCGCCACAGTGGTCACCGTCTGCGCGATCATCCAGCTCACTGCCATGTGGGTGTTCTTGGGGTCTGGGAGCAAGCCTGCCAACACAGCGCCGGTCCGGGCCCGTCACTCCTCAGCTGCTAACGGGCCACTTAAGTCCAGATTAATCATCTTATTACGTGCCGATTTTAAAACTAACGTTTTCATCAAAGCCATACAGTCACAATACAGAGGATTTAGTGCGTTTTTAAGATGTGTACCCACAATCTGACTACTGCGAGGATTTACAAAGGACTCCTCTTTAGATCAAACATCATTGGTTAATGAAGCAGAACAGCTGTGGTACAGGGAAGGACAACTTACATACGTTTCTCTATTCTAAGCAATCATATTATTTCCCAGCACTGGCTACCTCTAACAGCTCATTCTGTAACCCAGGTGTGATGAGGCCTGTCAGTCGCTTATAACAGATAAAGCATTTTGCTTTGCGAAGGTGGGAACTTCACGCTGACAAGTGTGTGTCATGGCTAACCTTTAGCTGTGTCATAGATACCGAAGTAAGCAGCTCTGTATATGATGATGCCCTGTACTGACACGCTGAACCCCTGGTATAGACCTCGCAGGCCGTCAGACTTGAAAATTTTGAGCAGGCAGTCGGCCAGCCCACTGAACTCTCTGGAAGGCCTGGCTTTGCCCACGTCTGCCGCCAGGCGTGTTCGGGCAAAATCCAGCGGGTACACGAAGCAGAGTGAGGTAGCCCCCGCAGCGCCACCCGACGCCAGGTTCCCGGCGAAATAGCGCCAGAACTGCGTGTGCTTATCCACGCCGCCCAAGAAGACCTGCTTGTATCTGTCCTTGAAGGCGAAGTTGAGGGCCTGGGTGGGGAAGTAGCGGATGACGTTGGCTAAGTTGCCACGCCAGAAGGAGGCGAATCCCTGCTCTTTGGGGATCCTCACGATGCAGTCGATGATCCCCTTGTACTGCTGGTCTGCGCTGATCTGCTTGCTTGCATGTTGCACCTGCACAGATGATGGAGAGGGAGATGAATTGAACTGTCATTCAGGAGAGTAACATAGGAGAGCAAGAGTCTATTCAGGCAATGTCAAATAAATAAACAAAGAAACAAATAAATCAAGCAAGCTATTTTTTTGTCTTGGGATGTCGCCTCCAACTCTTAGGTCTAACAGATCTCTCTATAATTTGACTTTGTGTCAAAGAAAACATACTAACATCTGCACTGAATAAATAAATCTTTACTTTATATTACCACCACAATAAAACCACCTCTGAAAAAAGTCCAAGTCAAGCTAAATAAATTAACCACTAGAAACACAATTAAATGAAAATCTTTACAGCTGACAAAATAAGAATTTAGAAAAGAATAAAATGAAGTACAGTGGTACCTCAGGACTCGAAATTAATCCGCTCAGAACTCGGGTTTGAATTCTAAAAAGTTTGAGTTCGTGATCAAATTTTCCCCATAAGAAATAATGGAAAACCAATTAATCGGTTCCCGGCCCCAAAAAATTACACTGAAATATGTTTTTTTTTTAGCATTTAAACAAAAAATGAACAGGATAAAACAAGAGCATATACTGTACTAAACACATCTAAGCACATTTATCAAAACAGTAATTTGTAAAGTAAGAAGACAAATGTATCCAAACAATGTGTAAAGTTAAAAAAATCGTCCACTCCTTCCGTGTGCCCCGCCCCCTCGTTAGCCCCGTGTGGAATGATCAGCTGTTTCTGCTTGTTGTCATTAGTCCTCTGTATTTAGTCCGCGTTTCAGTTTGTTTCCCCAGTCCGGTCATTGTACTGTCCGTCTGCGTTTTGCCTGCCTTACCTGTAATTAAACCCCGTATTCCCCGATACCCTGACGTCTGCGCCTTTGTCTCCGTTCCGTCCCTGCTGTGCAGGACAATATTATTATAATTAAATGTAGTAATGGCTTATTATTAATGATATTAAAATAATTAATAAGAAATCTTTTTTAAAAAATGTATTTTATTATATGATTACTGTTACTGTCTATCATTGTCTAAATGTATTTTTACTGTCTAAGTATATGTATTCAGCTAGTGTAAACATGCACAATGCTATCACAGCGAATGCGAGGCTGAGACTGAAGCATGACCCTTTGTTTCCGCTGAGAGACGTGCCACGTGACTCATTTCCCTGCACGTACAAGTTATCTTAGGTCGGCATTCATGGTTCAACTTCTGAGATTCAAATCGAGTTCTAGGTCATTTTTTCAAACTGGTTGGTTCAATTTTTTAGAAATTCGAGTTCTAATGAGTTTGAGAACTGAGGTACCACTGTAAATGTAGAATTTGTTGAATAAGATTTGGAGATTATATGTTGTTTAATAAGATTTGTTTAATAGACAGGAAATATTCTTTTGGGGGTGGCACGGTGGTTAGCACGGTCACCTCACACTTCTGGAACTTGGGTTTGAGTCTCAGCTAGGATTCCATGCGTCTGGAGTTTGAATGCTCTCCCCGTGTCGTCATAGTGTTACTCTAGTTTCCCCTCACAGTCAAAAAACATGCTGAAGCACCAAATTGCTCTGTGTGTGTGTGTGTGAGTGAATTGTGTGATTGTGCCCTGCGATGGGTTAGCGCCCCCATCCTGGGTTGTTCCCTGCCTTGTGTCTGCAGGCTCTGGACCCCCCACAACCCTGAATAGGGTAAGTGGTTTCAGAAAATAGAATATTCTTTTGACAGGTATTATTAGTTTTTTATATCTACTATTGACCTTATACACACACAAAAAATACTTGGGATAGATTGTTAATTTACTCAATTCGCTACTCTTCTATCCAAAATTTAAATCTGGGAAGCCCCCCCCCCCCATCATGGCCTAATCCAAACTGCAGTTAAACGTATCAGTACATGATGTCAAGGTGCAGATGTGCAATCTAGCTAGCTGGAGAGTATGCAATTCAATTCAATTCAATTTAATTCAATTTTACTTGTATAGTGCATTTTCACAACATTACATCGTATCAAAGTGTTTTCCATTATCTCTCCCAAAGCCCCCAGTGAGCAAGCCAGAGACGACAGTGGCAAGGAAAAACTCCCTAGAAGGAAGAAACCTTGGGAGGAAGCCCATCCTTCAGGGGCCGGCACAGAACGTCAAATGAGCATAATGTTCCAATTTTAAGATTTGAAGATGATGTCACAATTTAAAGATTTGCACAAAAAAAGATTGAACAAAAAAAAGCATGGCGCTCGTTTGCCATGCAAAATAACGAACACATTATTATTATTTGTTTGTTTAAAAAGTGCTTAAAAGTTTAAAAGAACATAATCCCACATTACACCGTGCTGCCGTGAATGTGGTCCAGAGCGCGCGCAGTGCGGCGATGCATGGAGCGGGATGCGGGAGACTCGCAGAATACTTTAATATGGCTTCTCAAGGAGAGTGACGACCAGGCTGCCACGGCAACCTACCAGACTGTAAACCAAAGACGTACAACTAAAACTCTGCAGCGGCAGTGTGCAGCTCTGCCATGCATTTCACTGCGGCTGGATAAATGCGCAAACAGCAGCGCTGCATCGCCCGCCTCCGTGAGACGCTCGTGTTACCAGGAGCAGAAACTTCACTCTTTCATTTGGCGCCACTGCAGTTTTGGAGATAGCAGCAGCCATACCGCCAGCCAAGAAGTCCTTCGCAAAAGAGACGGCCGCGTCCGCCATAGCAGAAGTGCCGATTTAACAAACTACAGTATGTCAAGAAAAGGCGACACAGCTGACGGCAGCTGGCGAGGCATACAGGATCACCTCGGTCCCTGATGCTGCTCAGCTCTCAGCTTACCGGATAAAATGACCGAGAATAAAAGAAAACAGCGCTCTTCCTACTTATCGCGAGAAGAAACGTGGCATCACGGGAAACTTCCTAGTTTTCTAGTGAGAAAAGTGATGTGACGAGGTGTTGGAGCGTTTGAGATGCACCTGATCAGGGCGGAGCAAACGGTTCTGGTAACGCAATGAAGTGCAGTTACGACAAGTATCTATTTAATTCTTAATAATTTTCAGTAAATCAAAATTGCCCATCTTACATTAAAAATGTACACTGTTTTCAAACAAATATATACGTTTACTAGGCCTATATATTCTATTTTAATATCTTGCATACAATTTCTTTAGTACAGGTATATACCACTTTGATGTGTTTTATATAATTACCATCATTTTGTCCCCAACATTCTCAATCTCTGCAGATAAACATCGCAGAATCCTCAGTCTATTCTTTCACCATTTCTTACAGCGCTTCCATTTTTGTAGACTAGTACAACAACAACAACAAATTTATTTTTGTATAGCGCATTATCACAACATTACATTGTCCCAAAGCGCTTTACAGTATCCCCACCCAAAGCCCCCAGTGAGTAAGCCATAGGCGACAGTGGCATGGAAAAACTCCCTAGAAGGAAGAAACCTTGGGAGGGACCAGACTCAAAGGGGGAGCCCATCCTCCAGGGGCCGGCAGGGAGAGTCAAATACAGTTAAATCTACTTCCTTGGATTTTCATTTACGCGGCTCATAAAAACGTGTCCATCTACGAGCTTGCACACTTCCACATGTAAACCATTAACTTCACCAACAAGAAAACACTGATCTGAGACAACACTGAAACTACCATTAAAGAAATAGTCGAAATCGGTCAAAAACAGCAGAGTCAGGGAAAACTGCAAATAACTTGTTTCCAAAATACCCTCTGCATTATTATCATCATCTCAAGGCAGATGACGTACAACACTCAACACTCTCAGACAGGCCTATTGCCTTTGACTAGGAACAGAATTTGGTCATAAATGAAGGACATATGCGATCGTATGTCCATGGCTTTTGGAAACATTAATTGCTATTCACTTCGAACACAGCTCAGAGCTTGTGGTAGGCTATATACTGAAATATATGATCTACTGATCGAGGGCTACAGCCAAGCGATTTCCCCCCCAACATGTTTCTCCAGGAGAAAGCCGATATGGTGGCTGCATCAACATACCCGGTTAATGGTTTTCGTCAGCAATTTCAAGAAGTATAGCAAAAAGGCAGTAGCGCCTGTTTGCAGTCTCGTGATGCTTCTCACTGCGGCTGCATTATACGCCGACGGGCGCGCGCGTCACTCGTCACCACGAGATGCTCGGTTTACCTGCAGAAGCAGCTTCACTCTTTCAATTGGTGCTGTTACAATTTCGGTGATAGTTGCGGCCACACCGCCGACCAAGAAGTCTTTCCCGAAAGAGATGACCGCGTCCCCCATGACACCTGTGGCTCACTCATCAAACTAGCATGATTCAGCAAAGGCAACGGAAGAAGAAGGCAGGTGCGATGGGCTTGGTCTCTGGTGCTTCCCACCCCCCAGTGCCCCGGACAAAATAGACACTATCATTTCTGAACGAGCATACACGTCGTACTGGATTGCGACGACTTGTTGCGTGCAGTTCTTCGCAAAACTTCTTCAGTTTGTCAGGTCTGTGGGAGCGGTCACCACTTTCGATCGTCAAACGGGGTTAATGCTTGGGATAGGAGCTCAATATTTTTTATTCACATTGTACATTGGAGTCGCTACCTGTCTACGGTCACCACCTGGCAACACGTCAGGTGATGGTGAAACGCTGCGGACACCTACTCTAAATGCACTGCATGTTCTGTGAATATTCAAGAATTGTCGAAGTTGTAGGTTAACCTAGCAGAACTATACGACTACTAAGCGTTTTTTACGGAGACGTAGGCTACTGTACGATGCTGCCGGGCGGTACGATCGACTTCATCCTTTATCGCACCTAGCGGCCTGAATAGTCGGGGAATAAAGGAGAAGGAGGCGCGTGCTTTCTTATAAATAAGCCTAGGTGGGGCACAGATGTGAGACGTGCTGCACCCCTGACTTCTCTGGTTATGACCACCGACCACACCGCGCATGGTACTGTGTACGGTACTAATAACTGCGAAAACACTCTTCCTGGATAGACATTGATCATCGTCGTCCGTTAAAGTCTTACACCATTTAC